ATTTATTTCATCTCACTCGTGTCTCATTTTCTCTATGATATACTTGGTCCTCATTCTCTCACCTGAATTATTCACAGTCTCTTGAAAGGACTTCTTCCTTCCAGCCTCTCTCCATGATCCTGATACATGATTCTATACAAAGCTACTGGATTAATAGTCCTAAACATTGTGACTCTCTCCTGCTACATAAATATTTTAAAAATTCAATGACTCCCATTACACGCTAAACAAATCTACTTGGTCTAGCTTTTGAGGCCTAAAAAATGTCATTTTCAACTTCCATTTTGAACCTTACTCCTCTCCTACCACTCAAGTCAGACATAGGATTGCAGGTAAGATACAGGCCACTCAGTTAAATTTGAATTTCAGATAAGTAATTTTTAGTACATAGTTTTAGAATATTGCTTGGGATACGTGCACTAAAAATTAGTGTTTATGTGAAATTGAAATTGAACTGGGCATCCTGTATTTTTATTTGCTAAATCTGGCAACCCCAGTCAGACAAGCCTATTCTCTATCTTCCGAATACTACATATAGATTACTACCCTTGCACCTTTTGTTCACACATTTTTTTTATGCTTTATTGTTTTTTTGGTGAGGAAGATTGGCCCTGAGCTAATATCTGTTGCCAATTTTCTTCTTTTGTTTTCCCCAAAGCCCCAGTACATAGTTGTACATCCCAGTTGGAGGTCATTCTACTTCTATGTGGGATGCCGCCATAGTATGGGCTTGACGAGTGTTGTGTAGGTCTGTGCCCAGGATCCAAACTGGCGAACCCTGGGCCACTGAAGCAGAGTGCGTGAACTTAACCACTCAGCCATGGGGCCAGACCCCTACTCACACATTTCAAGTGAGATCATGCATGTAATACACTTAGAACAGTGTCTAGCACACAATAAGCATGCAGTAGATAGTAATACTATCATTCCTCTGAACTTTTGGGTCCAACTCAACTCCCACTGGCCTTCTCTGGCCCACTCCGGCCCACGGTATAATCTCTCTCCTCTGTCTAGAATTTGATAGAACACTTGATTGCTTGCTTTGAACATTCCATGTCTATGTCTTACTTCACCTAAAATTTCTACCTCATATAGACATTACCGACAAATAAAATAGGATTTTAAAATAAGGCATTTTGCACTTTACCAAAATTATCAACCTTTACTCTTAAGTCCCGGCGTAAACACCACAGCACATGGTTAAAGCTCTCCAGCTGACCCTAGACTCGAGGCTCTTGCTGACAGGAGGACCTAGTGCTCTTTAAGCAAACCTCACCTACAGAATGTGAGCCGTAATGGGATCTGAAAAGCAAGAAATTCACTTCTTAAACAATATCTGAAATGTCAGTAGTTATGAATTTATCAACTAGAGACACAATACAAATTGTGCATTTTAAATTTTCTAAAACTTTTTTCTTCAATCAAAAGGAGCCTACATATAAACATGCAAATAATCAGCTTAGTGAAAACTTAACTTTTCCTATTTTTCATAATGATCTATAAAACTCACAATCTATCAAGTAGTCACATGTGATTTTTACAGGAAAAAAACTTCCTAAGCAGAGTCTAATAACCATGTCCTCCATTACACAGAAGATTCACATTATATAGGGACTCAAAATCTGTTGATGATCAAATAACAAAATTATGGGACCTCACTCGAGCTAAGCTTTTTGCAGGCAAACACACACACGAAATAGCAAGTACACTACGAACCACTGGTTCCCTTCAGTCCCACTCACAGTACAGTGCAGCCTACCTGAGTCCAGAGGCTGTCTCTACGCCTTTTATTCACATCTACCTCTCGAGCCTCAGTTTTCTCAAGTATGAAATGGAAGCCTCTTCTCTCAAGGTCGTTGTGAGGATTAAAGAATTAATATGCATGAACTGCTTAGAACAATGCCTGGCGCACAGGAAACATTCAAAAAAAACTAACTTTGGCACACGGGAAACATTCAAAAAACGCTAACTTACTATTCTTAGAATGTTTCCCAATTTGATCTCTTCAGGCGTAGCTCCAACCTAGGAGTTACTCACAAAACTAACTTTCAGAAACAAGAAGATAGGGAGAGAAAGCACTTTGGTTTGCCATTTTAGAAGAAACTCTAAAGATCCAAATCTCTGCTTCAACTCCCTTAACAAATTTGGTTTTTCCCTCTCACCTGCTGTGACCTTCTCAGGCCTGTCTATTCGGCTGTAATGGGAAACAGCTTTCATGGTCATGAATAACCAGTTTCACATAGATCTCTCCGTGAACTACAAGTGTTTGTATTTCTTAAAGCCCATTTGTAACTGTTCTCCATAAAATTTACTCCCGTAACTCCTGCTGAATTATTTTGTTTAGTTTCTCATTTAAGACAGTTATAGATTCCACATCCTACTCTATAAGTAGTGTAGAACAACTCTCCTGGCAAGAAATAACTTAGGTGTGAAGTAAATTATTTTTTCTAGTTTATATTGGTTAGAGGAATAATACTAGAAGAAACCAAATATCATGCATCATATTAGTTTCCAAGTCAGTAACACTTCCTCTTACAAAGTGTCATAATATAAAACACTGGACTCAGGACTTGATTACAGTAACACCCACTGAATAAAAGCCAGAGTTCAATGATGTTACCTGAACCTGTTCCAAATGAACCTGGGTCATCCGGAGGAAAGGGCACTTTAACAGAGAAGCACATTTAACTTATATCCAAACACCAGTAAAACTACCATAAAAATAAGGGAAATGTTTTAAATGAAATGATTCACAAAATTTTAAATGTTAAAATTGAAACTGAAAAACTACTGATTTCACACATTTAAACTTACTTAGGGGAAAAAAAATGCAGGTTAGACTACTCATTAACAAGTCTCAAGGATCACTAAATGTTCAAGTATGGAAAATCACACGTGCCACTGTTTCCTAAAGTTTTGATTAGTCATTCATTCATTTAAAAATGTCTTTTACTTATTGCTGGATTTCCAGTATGTTTTGGTAATGTTGTAAAAATTGACCTTTAGACCTGGGGTCAGCAAACATTTTTCGTAAAGGGCGAAACAGTAAATATTTAAGGCTGTTCAGGCTAAATACTCTCTCTGTCACATATTCATGTTTTTTTCATCCAGTCTTTAAACATTCTTTAAAAATGCAGAAACTGTCCTTAGCTCAGTCCCAAACAGGCCTCAGCCAGACTTGCCCTTGGCCACAGCTCCCCCACCCCCGCTTTACACTACACATATTATCTTTCTGTTACTATGTCAATTCCACTGATTAATTTTTGCTCTTTCAAATATTTGCTCAAATGTCACCTTCTCAATGAGGCCTTCTCTGAACATGTTCCTACCTGTCCCCCTATACATATAACATACTATATCACCTGACACATTTTTATTTATCATCTGATCTTTGTCATCCCTCCCCAGCCCCCACCACCCCTGTAAGTTGCATGAAGGCAGATACTGTTTTTTTCACTGATGTCTCTCCTTCACCTGGAACACTGCCAAGCATACCGTAGGCCTCAATAAATAACTCCACCCTCACACTTATAAAACAAATACTATGGAGGAAACACATATCCAAATGAAATAATCTGACAAGTGAAAAGGTATTCAAGGACAAGATTGACAATTACTTTCTCGTTTTAAAATTGTTTCATGGAGTCACAAAACATTTTAAACAATGGGGGGACATGCTCAAAATTAAAGCATTTTCTTACTATCCCACACAGTGAGGTTGTTTCTTATGGAATAATTCCCTGAAAGTTTACCATTACTTCAGCTCAGTCAATAACGAATTTCAATTGTCATTCCTAAACACCTCTACAGACCTGTTTTCCCTCTTTGATCTCACCTGCACGGTACTCCCTGCCCATTCAACTCACTAATCTAGTCTGGCAACTTTAACGTTTAGCAAAGCAGGGAAAAGTTACTGTGCCTCTGCTATAGCTCCCTCTCCTAACATTCCCTTTTTATAAACTTCCTAATACTGTAATCTTTCCTACTTGCTTCTTTGCTATTTGACCATTCGATATAAACAAAGCAAAATGCTAGATTCTATTGAATGTTATATTCCAAATACATTATGCTCAGTGATTAGTCAGACTTAAAAGTTATTTTCAATTGCTATACTATGTGGTTTTACAATTTTTACCTGTGAGGAAAGAGACAAGATTTGCCTTACCATAAGCCTGCTATACACTTGGCAAGGTACTGAGGATGTAACTTCAGAAACTTAGTAAGTTCCACCACCATTCAGCTTATGTCTACTATACATCTAAACTTACATTAAAACATAAAGCCTCACTAAAGAGTAAAATATTTTCTACTGCTATCACTGATAAGTTGATATTTGATAGCCATTAAAAAATCACAGTACTAAATATATTAATAACATTAATGTGGGGGTTAAACCATACTGGAGATCACACTAAGACATTCTAAAATCAAACCACAAAAATTGCTGATACAAAAGTTCGGAATGCTTACAAAGAAAGGAAATGTGTTTTAAGAACCCTTTTATCCAACAAGTTATTCCCCATCTACTGCTTTCTAAATGGCTACAATTCTGCCATTCTTATCAGACAAGGCCCTTCGGCTTCTAAAGCACAAACTTCAAAATCCAAAAGTCAATTGTCAAGGGTTAAGACGACTCTGTAGGCCAATTCTCTTCGGATATAATTCTGTACTCCTAAAAACGCTAAGACTGTGATTTTGAAAAAACAGTGGCATAGTAAAAACTGCTATAGAAACTTAGTTTTTAAAAACCATTTTCAACTGTTTTTGTGTCCTAAGTTATCATAAAATCAGATCAAGTTTGGTGGAACTAAATCAGGGCAAAACCTCTTTATACAAGCAGCAGTACAAGAACCAAATTGATTCTCTTTTTTGTTCTCATAAAAGCTAGGTGACTCCCAAATTAAGCCACTTTATACGGTATATCCCTGGAGAAAAACATGGCCCAACACACCACATGTCCCACTTAATCTAGTTCAAACGAGTAACATAACGTGAGAAGCTGCGCTGTGTAATTCCTTTATTTTCTGCATATTAGTGCTTCACCAACACTACAACCATAAAGAGCACAATTCCAAGTACTGTACTTTTCAGTGTGGGGAGACCAGTCTACAGACTCATTTACTCATATTAGACAAGATTGACCTCATTCAAAACTTACTGCAGTTTATAAATTCACATACACACAGAAATTGATGCAATTAAACAAAAACTTCAGGATCTTATTTTTTAAATTCTTAGATTATAACTTTTTCTGCAGGCTGTAATTACCTGCTCCATGATCACCAATAGTTATGGTTCAATTTAACTACATCAATTATCAACCATTTTTATCCTTAAAGAAAACGTAAGTGAAAATTACAATTTCTAACCAAAAGGTTTAGGGTTTTCCAAACTTCAAAGATTTGCTTCCCACCCCCCCACCACTTTCAGTTAGACATTTCAAATAAACTAAAAATAACTACATCTCACCTGCAACAATTAATAGCAATTACTTGATGTATAAAATTTTAACTATGCCCCCAGTTATTTTAAGACAAAAAAAATGGCTGTCTACCAACCTAACTGTCACGAGTTAGAAATTCCACATTTAAGAATTAACATGAGGGTTTCAAGTTTCCTCCAGTTTAGGCATTTATACCTTTGTGCTTGTCTTGTTTCTGGATGTTACTACAGCATTGATATTTGTATAACCCATGTTTATGTACCTTAAATGTAATCATTTAAAACACTAAGAATTAAATTTATGGTGGAGCTTTGGGAATTTCAAAGGCAACTAAACTGTTCTTATGTGTTCTTAGATGGCAACTAAACTGTTCTAAAATGTTCTTAGATGTGTCTATCAGCTTCTAGAGATATTCTACTAAAGTGAAACTGAGAACTTTATACTTCAGTTGCATTTTGAATTCAAAAATCCCTCTGCACCATCAGGAGCCTACAACATAGCACCTTTTCTCATCTGCTTTAAGTAAAATGTTTGTCAAGAGTTTTACTTTGAAGAGTTGACTTTTTGTAGCCTTATGCTTCTCATACATCTTTGGTAAAAGCTCCATTATACAATATGGCCAAAGCATGAAGGACCAATACTGTCCAACCAGATACCATGATATCCCGCTCAGTTTTAGTTTTCACACACCCTCATAAACAAAATCAACTCCACCTCTTCCTGCATACTGCTTTTGCAGTCTACATTTCTGAAATTCCCTAAGTTTAATTCCTTGAGGATCTCTAAAATTAATCCTTAAGGCTATATAAGAACCAGATGCTGCTCCCCAATTCTGTTACCAAGCATTAACATTTGGTTCAAAGTATTATCATAGTGGTCTCAATAATCTAGTTACTGGTCCTAACCAGCTAAGCAAATAATCTCCTTAGGATCTGGATATCACCAGTGAGCACACTGCTTACCCTTGCAGAAAAATAAGTTTACATTCATCGTCATCTGTAGGTTCTTTCTCTTCCTCCCACTTCCCCTTTGTCATTCCTCAAGTCTACACATCATTCATCCATCACATTTCCTTCATTAAAGGAGAAAGTGTATTATTGAACCAACAGGATATCTGACTTACTACTTGCATGAGTTAATCCTACAATCAAACAGAATTAAATACCCTTTTTATAAAACATCTCTTCCAGTGTTCTAATTAACGGAGATGTGGATCACTCATCTATAAAAAAGACTTCTACCTTCAGCTTAATCAGTTGCTGCAACGTGAAAACAGGAACGTGTATTTTTCCAACTAGGTAAAGGGTGCATATAATTTGAATTGTTAAATGCTTTATTAATGAACAAAGTAAACATTCTGGTAATTTTAAAACTATTGGTCTTAGACATTTGAAACATAGTAAAAGTATATATTCCAGTTTTGCCCAAAAGTCACTTAAGATATCTACAAATATTTCATGTGTGTGTGGCATACACCGTTATTGCTCCATTTCCTGGAAAGAGTCTATTTTTCAAGTTAAAAAAGAGGGAAAACACAGCAAAGTTGCTAACTTCGCAGTGAAAAAAATCTGTGTCCTCGACGAGTTACACTTTCATATTTTTATGCAGTGTAAGTTAGCTATGTAATGGGGAACTTGAGTTTTATCCCTACTCATGCATGACGTATGCTTCAGAATTTAATAGCTGACATTTCAAAGAACTTCTTATATTACCTGTTTGACACACTGATGTGCAACTGGAATATATTACAATGATATTACTCATTATTTGCCACTGTGGGCTAAGTTTACTATACTGGTCTTAGATATAAAAGGTCACATTCGAAATTACTAAGTTAAAGTTAAAACTCAGAAGGGAGGGAGAAAAGGCCTTAAATATAAAAGACAAACGGCAGTTTGATTAAGCAATAATTTTCAGTTTACTAGATGAAACAGACTTGCAACACAGTCTGCATGAATGCAAAATAAGCCATCTACAGCAGGTGATAGGAAAACTGGGCAAAAAGGAAAAAAAGCATACATTGGAAAAAAGATTCTCTCGAAATAAAAAAATCAAACCATTATTATAAAGGACTTTACCAAGAACTGCTATATTTCCCCCATCCCATTTGCTGGAAGTCAACAGGAGCATCTAGCACTTTGTGTTCATGTCAAATGTCACATCAGAGCATTCTAACGCAAAGCGGAAAAGAAAAAAAAAAAAGAAAAAGAAACCAACAAAAAAGAAAACCCCTCACCCGCCCCCAAACCGTAGAACCGTAACTCCCGAGTTCGAATTGAAGAGAAGAGAAAGTGGCCATTGAAAGAGGTGACGGCGGCGATAATCCTATGAATGGTTCGCTCCTCTCCTTCCGGGGCCGGGTGGAGGACGCTCATTAGGATTTGTAGTTAGAGGTTAACCATGTGAGCCCCTCATAGAGTCCGTCCCCCGAGGTGGCACACGAGGGCTGCACATACCAGTTCCTGTCCCGAATCCGGGTCAGGCCCAGTTTCTCCTGGATCTCGTGGGGCTTCATGGCATCGGGCAGGTCCTGCTTGTTGGCGAAGATGAGGATGATGGCGTCCCGCATCTCCCGGTCGTTGATGATGCGGTGCAGCTCCTGGCGGGCCTCGTCGATGCGGTCGCGGTCGGCGCAGTCCACCACGAAGATCAGGCCCTGGGTCCCGGTGTAGTAGTGCCGCCAGAGCGGCCGGATCTTGTCCTGGCCGCCCACGTCCCACACGTTGAACTTGACGTTTTTGTAAGTCACCGTCTCCACGTTGAAGCCCACCGTGGGGATGGTGGTCACCGACTGGCCGAGCTTCAGCTTGTACAGGATGGTGGTCTTGCCGGCCGCGTCCAGGCCCAGCATGAGGATCCGCATCTCCTTGTTCCCGAAGATCTTGGACAGCACCTTCCCCATCGCGCCGGAGGAGCCGGGCCCGGGGGCATTCAGGGTCGCGGGCCTCGCCGACAACGCCGCCCCGCGGGGCCGGAACCAGCCTGGGCGCGCGGCCTGCGTGGGCGCCTCGTGGGCAGGGCCGCCCGCTCACTCGGGCATCACCCGCCGGCGCCCGCTTCCTGCCGCGCGGCCGCCGCCCTGCCGAGGGGAGCGGGCGGGCCGGCCGGAACCGCCCTTCCGCGGCCCGAGCCCCGCGCCGCCGCCGCCGCCGCCGCCGCCCGGGGCCGGGTCACCGCCGCGCAGGCCACGCGAGGGGCAGGGCGCCGCGTCAGGGGCCGGGCGGACTCGGCGCTGCCTGCGGAGACACAGAGAGAGGGTTACGGCCGGCGCCGGCGAGCGCCGCGGCTGCGCCCGTCCAGCTGGGCCCGCGTTACCTCGGCCGCCGCCCCGAGCGCGGGCTCCTCCGGCCGCCACCTCCTCCGCCCAGCTCTGCCGCCGCCGCCGCCGGAAAAGGCGCCGAGGAAACCGCCTCACTTCCCCTCCCGACTGCGCATGCGCGGCGCAGGCCGGCCGTTCGGACGGGCGCGACCTCTGTCAGGAGAGCGGCCCGCGCGCCCGGCGTCATGGCGCCGCGCGAGGGGCGGGGCTACGGCGGCTCGGAGGGGCGCGGGGGCGGTGCGCCCGGCCCGCGAACCCCGGCCTCTGGCCCGCGAACCCCGGCCTCTGACCCGCGGCCCCAGCTCGCCGCCCTGGCTTCGGGTCCCCTGTCCGCTTCCCCTTCCGCGCTCTCCGCGTCCGCCCCCTCGAGCCGGAGGCGCGGATGCGCGGGGGGCGGGGCCGCTGCCACGACGGGCGCCCCTGGGCTGCTGGGCGGCCCGCCCTCGCGCCCCGACGCCCGGAGCCCGCGCGGGCTTTCCTTCCTCTGGGCGGCGTCTCGGGGGGCGCGTGGAGGCCGGGCTGGGCGCCCCCCGCGGTCTGCGTTACGGTGTGACCGGGGGACCCTCCGGGCCCGCGGCTGTCCGGGGGTGACGGCTTCCGCGTGCACACGCCGTCCCCGCCCGTCGGCCGCTCACCCTCGGAGGCCGGGCCCGGTGTCCGCGCCCGGCGCTCGGCTCGCGAGCTCGTGTCGGGCGCACCGCGCGTCCCGGGTGAGACGACCGCCGCTGGTGCGGGCTCCAGGGCTTTCTGGTGCAGACGCTCAGCGACCAAGGGCGGCTTAGGAGGAGGCGAAAGTTTGAAATAAGTGAACCAACGGGAGGGAAACAGGAAGTAGGGTTTTTTTTTTTTAGAGGAAGATGCTAGAACAGCGTGTGTTGGCATACTTTTTGTTTCACAATTTAGGAAGATCTGATAATGGTAGGGGGGTTAAAGAACTTGTATTGGTGGAATAATAGAAGCTTCAGCCTGAAGTAGGCTTCCTGAAGTTACTAGTGTTCTGTGATCTAGTTTACTTTCCGTCTGCCTTAAAACTGAAGGAAGGGTTTTAAGTCAGAAGACTGGGGCTCACAGTGTCACCCCTCCTTTTCACAGCTGTGAGTTTTTAAGTCTGGACCTTCGTAAACTTCGTTTTCTTGTACAGTCAGATGAATATGAATGAAAATAGTCATCGTGTATTGACTTTGTATTGGTAAACACTGAACTAAATACTTTAAATATGTTGTTCTAATCCACACAGCAACCACATGAGGTACCTTTGAGTACTGGTATTTTCGTAGAAGGAAACTGAGGGTTAGAGAGCTTAGGTCATTTTGTGAAGGTCACAGTGCTGAGATTTAAATCGTGAATCTACAGCTCACCCTCTTAACCCCCAAATTAAGCCAACTCCCTGCCTACACACAGCTGTTTGGAATCTCAGGTATGGCATTTCTTGAAATGCTTTATAACTATAAAGTGCCATAGTAATTTTTTTTTTTTTTTTTTGAGGAAGATTAGCCCTGAGCTAACATCTGCTGCCAATCCTCCTCTTTTTGCTGAGGAAGACTGGCCCTGAGCTAACATCCATGCCCGTCTTCCTCTACTTTATATGTGGGACGCCTGCCACAGCATGGCGTGCCAAGCCGTGCCATGTCCGACCCCAGGATCCCAATTGGCGAACCCCGGGCCACCAAATCGGAAGGGGCAAACTTACCTGCTGCGCTGGCCAGCCCGCATAGTAATTCTTGTTATTATTTATATGTGGCAAATAGAGGCAGGTGTTGTATTTTGTTTCATGCCAACATGGTGTTTTTCTCACAGCAGATTCCAGCTTTTCCGAGTGAATGGGGGATTGATCTGCTGGTTGGACTTGTATTTCAGTGGAAGGTGTGATACAGTTAAAAGTGGAAGCCGCTTGAAGCCCCAGCATCTACCTGGCTCTGGCGCTGTGCTGGGGCTGAAGAGCTTGCTTCTGAAAGCCAGCCTGCGTTTGTATTCCACCAGAGTGCAGGCTCCACGGAGGCAGGGACTGTCTTGTCAGCAGCATGTTCCCAGCGGCAGCGGTTGGGTGTCAGGAGGTCGGTGGTTAGTCGAGTGAACGAATGCCTTTTAGACCACGGGTGAGACAAGGGGAGAAAGGTACGTACGGTTTTTATCCAGGGATTTGAAATAAGTTAATTGACAAGCTTTTCAGGTGGTGGCATATCTTAAGACTATTGGATATCTAGAGTGGCCCACCATACAATAAATTATGCAATATATTATTTTAAGTAATAATCATAAAACAAGTAATAATGGTCAGGAAATAAATACAAACAATGCAAAATTTTTAACTCTATATATCATGGCAGTTAGAAAAAAAGAAGTAAGGGAATTTCAATAAAACCAAAATATCTGCAAAACGTAACAATTTAGGCAACTACTAAATTGTACCACTGGTGAAATATTGTTTCTTGATTCCTTCTTGAAACAATTAACAATTCAAAAAGAGTAAATTTCTATTTTAAAAATATTATTTCCGTTCAACGAAATATTTACAGATTAACTGAAACTTACATTTATGAAACAAAATACTGGATTTCACAGTTTGTGCTCTGTTTCACAGTTTTTAAGTTTTAGATACAAATGAAAGCTCCAAAAACTGTAGAAAAATTGATCTCTGCTTTTCAACTCAAAGCCTGCAAATGAAGAGATTTCTCCAGCTTACTTTCAAACCAGGCTTCCCTTGTATAAAACACCATCTCATAATTTCTAACCTGTTCAACAACCATATTTAATAATATGCTTATAATATTCCTGACTAAAATACCAACTTACAGGAAAAAGATTTACTTTTAAAAAATGGCTTAGCAGGGGGCCTGCCCGGTTGTGCAGTGGTTAGGTTCATACACTCCGCTTTGGCAGCCGGGGGTTCACCAGTTCGGATCCCAGGTGCGGACCTTAGCAGTGCTGACAGGCCGTGCTGTGGCAGGCATCCCACATATAAAGTAGAGAAAGATGGGCATGGATGTTAGCTCAGGGCCGGTCTTCCTCAGCAAAAAGAGGAGGATTGATGGCAGATGTTAGCTCAGGGCTAATCTTCCTCAAAATAGAAAAATAAAAAAATTTTTTAAATAAAAATCAAAAATGGCTTAACTTTCTGCTTTTAAAATGCGATGAACAAGTCTTCTTTAACGGTGGCACCCCATGCTATTTCCCTATTTCTGAATTCCTGGAGCTCTTGAAAAGCACTCATTCTGTAGGACTCTGTTGCGTATTTCTTTTTGTCCCATGGAGTGCCAAGGACAATTCTGACCAGATGGCGAGGGTGCGAGCATGGTCTGACTATGTGCCTGTTTGAGGAAGGTAACACCCCGGCTTATGGCTTCATTTTGAGCCCTTCGTCCAGACTTACCCAGAATTGAGCTCTGTCTAGTTTGAAGAAAGCATAGAGCCCCAGGAAGTCTATTAGCGGTAGAACTAAAGAGGAAAGAAGCAGCTATGATAGAGTGTATCTTTAGAAAAATTACTAATCCTTTCCAGCTGAATCTAATTGAGGCAGGAGCATTTGCCCTCCCTTAGGATTGTACCTATGTGCTTATAAGCTCTCTGAGAGAGCTGTGTCCTTTTCATTTTTGAATCTTTAGTGCCAGCATAATGCCTAGTAGGTAGTAAAATAAAGTTTCAAACTTTTTTTTTTTTTTTTGCTGAGGAAGATTGTCCCTGAGCTAACATCTGTGCCAATCTTCCTCTACTTTGTACATGGGTCACCTGCCACAGCAGGGATTGGTGAGTGGTGCAGGTCCGTGCTAAACCCATGCACTCCGGCCACCAAAGCATCATCATTTTTTGATGATACATGGTAAAAGGTTGAGACCCTCAAAAATAAAACTGAGAAACCCAATGAATACAATGAAAACAATTCATTTTCATTTATAAGTGTTCTTGATTACTTTAATGGATGCAAATTCAGTAGTTCCCTCCCTCGTCCTCTCCCTGTGTCAGCTGAGGAACCACTTTCTGCTTCTTCCTCTTTAACCATAAAGAAAGTTGCATCCCAATCAAAACCTTGATAATTACCTTAGTTATGCCTGAGTATGAAGACTTCATCTCATTATTAGCATTATTAAAAGTGGGAATGAGGGAACTAAAAACAAAAGTTTGAGTTATAGTTGATATTTTAGCAAACTGTTGAATAGTTACAGCTTCAGACCATAAAAATAAACACAGGCAATATGGTCTAGTGGCTCAAAGGAAGAGAAAAAGCTAAATTACATCCTTAAACTATTCCCAGCACTTCTTGACTCACGTTTAACTTGGGTGAGTTGTTCGCCTCATTGATCATCAATTTCTCTACTCCTGTGATGGAGAAATCTCTTAATTGATTAGGACAGTATATATTGTTCCTTACAGGTGAAGGAGCTGAAGCACTGAGAAGGGGAGCAACTTCCTTAAGATCAAGAACTGGTACAGAGGAGATTCAGATTAAGATTTTTTGATCCAAGTCTGGTGTTCTTTTATCTATCGTACCAAATTATTGTGTGAACTCAGGAAGCTGGATTAGATCAGTGGTTTTCAGCCCTGGCTGCACATTAAAATCACCTGGTTTTGAAACCACACAAATGCTTGGGCCCCACCCCAGATCAATTAAGTCAAAATGTCTGTGGTAGAAGTTCTACCCACCATTTTTTTTAAGGCTCCCTGAGTGATTCTAATGTGTAGCTAAGACTGAGAACCATTGAACTAATTGCTAACTTCCCCTCACGTTAAAAATGCTGTGAATTCTGAACTCTGCTTTGTTATTCTTTGTCCCCAAGATACATACTCCCACACACAATTTTTTTTTTTTTAAAGATTGGCACCTGAGCTAACAACTGTTGCCGATCTTTTTTCTTTCTTTCTGCTTTTTCTCCCCAAATCCCCCCAGTACATAGTTGTATATTTTAGTTGTAGGTCCTTCTAGTTGTGGCATATGGGACGCAGTCTCAACGTGGCCTGATGAGTGGTGCCATGTCCGCACCCAGGATCCGAACCGGCGAAACCCTGGGCCACCGCAGCAGAGCATGCGAACTCAACCACTCGGCAACGGGGCCGGCCCCCAACACAATTTTTTGCATAATATAGTGCAATAATGCTTTAGTCACCGGAGTAACTTCCCAAGACATTAGACGTCTCAGACAAAGGCATAAATATTTCTCAGTCTTGCAAAAATTATTTTAAAAATATACTGTAATTACAGGTAAATTTATTGAATTATTAGTAGAACACTATCAACTAGTCAGTGCCATTCAAAGAAGAGAAGGTACGACAGAATACTTGACAGCCATAGGATGATCGAACTTGTGAGCTCTAGACTCAGACCTGTCCATGCCATTCGGCTGCCCCGGATGCAGACACCCCTCCTGTTTGCCTTAACCCCAAATTAGGTAGAAGGAAAGATGAGGGTGGGCAAGTAGATTCTCCTTTTCCTGTCTCCCTGGGAGCTGAGATTTGGGTCACTGAACTGGGCTCAACCAATTAACTAATCAGTGTCCTAGTCCAGGCTTTGGATTTTGAGAGATTCAGAACTCCATAGTTGCTGGGACAAGTGTCCAAAGTGACTGTCCAGCAGCATGGTAGCGGATACCCAGTGGCAGGAGTGCCAATGGCAACAAGTGTCATAGGGAAAGCATTG